GAGAATGATTAGGTGGATGAGTGGCTTTACACTTAGAGACAAAATGCGGAATGAATATATTCGTGATAGGGTTGGTGTAGCTCCTGTGACGGACAAAACTAGAGAAAGTCGTCTTAGATGGTTTGGTCACATTAAAAGCCAACTATCCGGTGATCCGATTAGGAGAGTAGATGTTTTAGATTCAACTTATGTTAAGAAAGGCAGAGGTAGATCTAGAAAGACTTGGGCTTCTTGTATTAAAAATGATCTTAATTACTAGAACTAAATGAAAATATGACACTAAATAGGACTCAATGGAGAAAAAGGATTCATGTAGCCAACCCCACGTAGTGGGATTAAGGCTTTGTTGTTGTTGTTGTTGTTGTATACTATATTAGTAATATACCAATATAGATATTATATCTTTATATAATAAAATTTATATAATTAATATAATATATTATTTCTATATATTAATATTAGGGATGTCAAACTTGCTCGTCTTTCGCGAACAGCTCGTGTTCGGCTCGTTCGTTAAGAAACGAACACGAAAAGTGACTTCACGACAAATTTCAAACACGAGTCTATTTCAAACATACTAAATTTCAAACGAACCAAATACGAACACAAGCTTTGTTCGTTCGTGTTCGGTTCGTTTACACCCCTACTTATAGGCTTTAGCCTGTAAAGCATCTCAACATTCTTCGCCAGTCCCTCTTGGCTCTCTTCGGCTTTGTCCCTAATTCACTATTTCACTCAACTTGCCTCTATCTCGATGCATTACCCCTTTAATGAATGGAAAAAAAATATTGCATATGTTATTCGCAAGTGTAGACGGCGAATGATCGGGTTATATCTCGGCAAACACCTCATCTGTGGACGAGATAGCCGCCTCGCCATGTTGAGCTATCATCCGGTTATTAGTCATCCGTACATTAGCACAAACGGGTGAAGAATAAGGAAAGTAAAAACTACGAAGCGTCCTGAGATTTTCATTAAAAGGGAAACGAGAAATCGGGATTCAGAAGCGACACCAACATGTAGATGAAAAAAAGTGGCTCTTTAGAGTCTCACCCATTTGGATTTTCAAAATATCACTTTTTCACATATTCACATTTCGGTTTCAGTTTTTGGCAGATTTGGAGTTCCCCAATTCTAGCCCTAAACTTCTTCAAGCCACACTTTGAAGTCTATAATATAGCAATTCCCATGTTTGCCACTTTGATCTCTCTCTATCTTCTTTTATAATACAGCCAAGTCGTAATGAACCCTAAATGATCCACAAAAAATAATGATTTATTTTGTTGTTTTAACTAATTAGTTTTAAAAGAAGTTTATTCCTATTTCTAAACATATTTTCTTCGATGAAGTTATTTCACGCTCAAATCCTCCATTACTTATTAATTGGTAAATACATGCAATAAAATAGGCAGAAAATTTAAAATAAGAACATCTACATTGTTTTTCTTGGGTAACACAGGAGAAGATCTTTCATCTTTTGTTGAAGTTAATATTACTAGTGATGTGAGTGCTTCTAGTATCAAACCAATTAATGAAAAGAATAAGATTAAGTTAATAAGTCCAAGATCTAATGTTTGGAATCATTTTATCAAATTAATTGCTAATGATGGAGGAAAAATGAGTAAATGTAATTATCATGAGAATACATACTATAATGATTGGAAACTTGAGGGTACAAAATATTCATCAACCCGTCTTTGTTTTTTTCCTAAGAAAATCCTCATAACATTGAATCAACTGAGACCGAAATAGAACCGCGATCAAGTGTTAAAAGAGATGAGATTGGTGAAGGTTATAAGGCATAAAATAAAAAGATTGAGACATTGTAAAAGATGTTCTAGCAGTCATGGTATATTGTAGATAAATTACCCTTTAAACTTGTTGAGTTTTATGAGTTCTCATTCTGGATGGACACTCACTCATGACTATTTTTAGTTGTACTTAGATTAGAGACAACTTTGAAACAACTTTTTGAGAATCATGTAAAATGATATATTTAAAAACTGATATTTGGAGATCCATAAAAAAATCAACTATATATGTCTTATTGTGCATTACATTGATGAAGATTAGATATTGAATAAATGAGTGATTAACTTTTGCCAAATATATAGTCGTAGATGTGAACTAGTTGGGAAAAAAGTGAAAAAAATGCTAATTTGATTGAGGGATTGACACAATTTTCATATTTACACTTGATAATGCAAACTCTAACAATGGCATCATCAATCATTTTTTTTCCTAAAAATAATGAGAGTATCCCTGACAGTAAGTTTCTATATATGAGATGCATTGCTCCTATCATAACTTCAATTATTCAAGTTGAGATCAAGAAGGAAAGTTATTATGTACATCGTATAAAAGATTATTGTCATGTTTATTAGACAATCTTATGCTCAACTTCTTAAGTTTAAAAAATGAATGGAATTAGAAATTATTCAATGTAAGAGTTTACTATGTTTTGATGTGACTGGAAAATACAATTCTATATTTTTGATGTTGAACTCAACACTAAAATTTGAGGGAGTCTTTGAGCACTATGAAGTGATTCACTCTTATTTAATATTTGAGCTTAAGAAGGAAAAGCAAGAGGGTCTTGGACCAAGTGGGGGTTCCACCTAAAATTGATTGGGAGAATATAAAAATGTGGTATGTTTCTTAATAAGTTCTACTAGTTAACTTTATTTCCCATCGCCAAGCGTTGCCCACTACCACTATTGTCAGTATTGCCGCAGTTCGCTGTCCCAGCCGAATGCCACAATCGCCAGCCACCAATAACTTGTGCAATATCTCACATACTTTGAAATACATTATTTTAATTCTACCTCGATCAAAATAAAAAAGTTTGAAGTCATATATTTATTTTACTGAGAACTAGTTCAGAATTTTCGGAGTATCTTTAGAGCTTTAAAAGATTTTTTTTAGTGAAAACTCTGAAAGAAGAAAGGACTTAATTCTTATGTATTTACATATCGAACATCTAAATTTTGTTTTTTTTATATTTATATCACCCAAATATTTATTATTATGTAGATCTTGGTTGTGTCGATCAATTGTCAACTCATATCCATCAATTTTGTCAATCAAGTTTGGCGATGAGTTCGCCGAGGGGTAAGAAGGGTAACACCCCTCTTGTGGCACCAAATTTTATTTTCTCGTGTAAAGCGTCTTGACATTGTAACTGCAGTGGCTCAGTGTTACAACCACAACATAGCAAAATGAAAGTCTATTTTAAGCTACTTTTTCTATCGTTTTTTTTTTGTAGCTTTACCCACAATGTCTTGGTGTTATAAACGTGATCCAATGAAAAGAAAGTATATTTTGAGCTATTTTTTTATGTAATTTATTTTTTGGTGTTGGATTTCATATTATCTTGTGCAAGAAGTGGAGAGTGTGTCCCAAGGTGCCCAGTGTGAAGAGGCTTGAGCGGGATGTAATTTGTACAATTCTCCTCATTTTGCTTCTGTGATTTTTTCCCTTTATTGGATTTTTCTACGTTAAATCTCTGGTGCTTTCTATATTTTTTGCTTTTATATTTCTATTCAAAGTTTTGCTTCAGATCTCTCGAATTATTTTCCACAATTTACATCTCACTTCAAAAGTATCACTATGTTAACATTTAAAAAGTGAATTGCACATTTGCATGCACATTTCTATTCAAAGTTTTGCTTCAAATCTCTCGAATTATTTTCCATAATTTACATCTCACTTCAAAAGTATCACTATTTTAACATTTAAAAAGTGAATTGCACATTTGCATGCATAGATAGTGTTTGGGGTGTAAACGAGTGGAGTCTAGCTCTAACAACTCTCGGCTTGAACTTGAACTTGATTAATCAATTGAGTTCAAGTTTAAGCTTGAGATTAATTCTATGAGTTTGAGGTAACTCATAAGTCAATTTGTTTATTATGAATGAGAGGAAATGATATTAATTCAAGTTAGGTTATACTAAAATGATAGATATAATGCGCATTTAGTAAATATTTAATAAGATATTACTCAATCCAAAACATATAATATAAAATTTTAATTTTTTAAATATTTTAAAGATAAATTCTTAACTAATATATTTTGAGTCTTTTTTATTAAATATATTTTAAATAAGCTGGCTCACAAGCTAATTAATTGATTTGGGTCTGGCTTGAGCATGACTTATTTGTTCATCAAGGTTTATTCACTAGCCACTTATTGAGTTGAGCTCGAGCCAACTCACAATTCAGATTGTCTCGTTACATCCCTGTATACAATGGCATATATGTAAAGAATAAAGTTTAGTGGTTAGACATGTAAATACATATAAATTAATTGGTGTGCATGTAAATCTTCCAAAATGAAGTCACAGACGATAACATATCCTTAAAATATTTCCCCCAAACTTGACTAATGATAATGATTTTATATATGGATAAGAATTTAGAAAAAATCCTCGGTATAATCGAGCTGATTTTATCTATTTTTTGCCTTTCTTATGAAAAGTTTTGAGATTAAGGCTGCGTTTGAGGCCGCGAGATGGTTGCGGTGCAGTGTTACACTACACTTTTTTCTATTTAGCAAAACTTCATTTTGTCTGCATTCTCAAAAAATTGCAACTGAAAGCTCTATTTTTCTACCATACCTGACAGCCGATGATGGTTTCTCGAAAGCTACGATCTGACTTTTTCAAAAATATGATTTTTTTATAATAATTACCATAGCTTTTTTAACAAATTTTTCCTCAGCAACTTCACAACCGCTTCTTCAAACTATTGCAGTTACCCCAAATAGAGTCTAAGGGTGTGTTTGGGCCTGCAGTGCACTGGCAGAGCAGTGCCACATCGCAGTTTTTTTGTTTGACAAAACTATTTTTTCTTTGTGTTCTCAAAAAATTGTAACTGAAAGCTGTGTTTTCTCACTATAACTGACTACCTACGATGATTACTAGAAAATTATGATTTGACCTTTTCAAAAAAAAATTATATAATGGTCTATGCAGCTTTTTTGAATAATAATTTATTCTTCAACAGTTCACAATTCTATTTGGACGTAATGATATTTGCTTGCTGCCAATTTACCTTTTATTAACAATTAAAACTATATCTAAAAAACAAAGAAATCTAAATTTAAAACTATACGAAAACAGGCACGGGTCTTCTCAACTCTCTCTACCATCGTCCTCTACGGGCTACAGCCCTAATTTCCGTTTCAAAGCTTTAAAAACCACCTCATCCAGCTCAGCACTCTCCGTACTTTCCGTTCTGACAGCAAAAGGCGCTTTCCGGCATGTCGGGCACGACGGCCGGACCGCCAGCCACCGATCCAGGCATTCCACATGGAAGCCGTGGCCGCAGTTCGGCATAAACCGGACCCGCTCGCCCGTTTCGATTTGGTTCAGACAGATCGAGCAATCCGAGCCGTGGATTGCGATAGGCAGCTTACGGATCTCGTCCGTTGCCCCATCGAGGTTGATCGGACCGGAGACGTGGTGGAAGCAGCGAACCACGCAGCGAACGATGAAGTCCAGAAGGAGCGCGAAGATGACGAAGGAGAGAAGAACGGCGATGATCGATATAAATTCAACGCCGATGCTGTTTCCGGTGGGTTCGCCGGAGGAAAGGGGTTCGCCGGCGAAACCGGTTTGGAGGCGGCGGCGGGAGTTAATGTTGATGGACATGGAGGAAGCCGGTGAAAGTGATATTGTGCTCGGAGGCATAGTTTGTTAATTTATAGAGGAAAATTTCTGACAATACAGCATGAGGTGGGCTGTTTATTATTATTATTATTTTAAGGGCTGACAGTTGTTTGTATTTAATTTGTATAGTGGTGGGCCAGTATTTGGAATCAGAATGACTTGGTATAACATTTGTGAAGGTGTGATTAGAGATTTTTATTTTTCAAATTAGGGGCTGAAATTATATTTTCATTATTAATTTTTAATTTAATTGTTATTAAATCTAAACTTCTACTTACAAAATGACTATTAAAAAATAACATTTATACAATTTAAATTTATGATATAAAAATGTAACTATTCTATTATTAACTGTGACTGTTTGAGATTTGTCACACTTTTAAGGTATTTTATACGCATATGATATAATTTAAAATTTAATTTTAAAAGACTAAAATTGTTAAAATTACATACAAAAATTATGAATGCTTATTTCTTATGGTGAAATGTACATTTCAATGCATATATTTTAATGTGGTTATGATACTTGATGTTTGCTGAAGGTCTATGACGACAAAATGGTTATATTAGCGTCTCTGCATTGCTTAAAATTTAAGCACACATTCACGACATGTTGAATTTTCATGTGAAAAACCCTAGAAGGAAAAAAGCCACTGGGTCAAGCCTAGTTGAAATGACTCACTCTGTATGTTAGATCCTAAAGTGTCATGTGTATCACGCTTAAGAAATAGAGCATTAGTCAGATGAAAGAAGAGATAAGATGATTTGAGCACTTTGTACTTTTAGCTATAATTTTGTCATTCGTTCATTTCTTGAAAATGATATTTCTATTTATAGTTCATAGATAGAATTTGTAAGTTACATTGTTATCTCATATTAATGATGTAAACGTTACTATAATTAATGAATTGTTACATTTACAAATTTGTAACTACATGTCATTTATCTCAATCACATGCTTCTGTAACTGCCTTGAACACTGCTTCACATTTGTAATTGTCCAATTTGGTTGCTTAGAGTTCATTTAGTCGGTTGACCCTAGATCACTCGATCGTCTTCAATGATCTTTGGTCACTGTCGGTCGCCATGCGGCTGTGTGTGGTTTAATTTAGCGTAATATAGTGTTTAGAAATTATGTATTTTAATTTAAAGAAAATGGGGTCAAACTGATCCATTGATTCCTACAGTTTGGATAATTGAGCTAACCACGAGTAATGTACCACCCTGAACGGTAATACACTACTTGATAATAAGCTCAATTAAATAAACTATGGAAATAAATGACTTCCGTTTGATCTGCAAGTTTGCATGATGACCGACAGATTCCCCTATTTGATATGGTAGTCAAATAGGGTTTATTTTAAGCCTGGGTTCTTTTAAGTTCCCTATAAGGGCAAGCCCCTATAGTTAATTATATCTTAAGCGACGGATCACCTAAGAAAACTCTCGATAAAAATCAGGAATCTTTTATTTTCATGAGTTCAAAAGGAAAGGGTTTTCAATGAACATGATTGTGAAATTTTCAATAGGGATTGGTTCAAAAGTGAAAGATTTTGTTTTAAGAATCAAAGGAAGGAAAGTAGGGGAGATTAAAGATCCAGAATAGATTCTTGGTAATCCCCCAAACTATCCTAATGTTTGGCTCAATTTAGGATGATATTAATTTAAGTTAACTCTTGTCAGTTTTATTAATTAGGACTTAGATTTGTGTAATGATGATTTACACAAAAAGCCTAGAAAGATAGGAGGTTTTACGTCGAGTGACTACCTCAGAATCCTAAAACAAGTTAGGACATACTGCATATCGGGACTATGCAGGAGCCTAAAAAAAAGGAGAGGTTCGTGTCATAAAAGACAACCTCGAAATCCTAAGGATTATTATTTAAACTAAAGAAAGAGTCTTGAACGAGCTGCCCACGAAGTCTGCTCCATGTTCCATACTGAAATGTCTTCAGGTCTTCAAGTCTTCAGGTCCTCCAATCTTATTATTAAAAGTTTTATTTGTTTCGATAATTTTA